GGGCCGGCGCTCGTGCCGGGGTCAGCACAGCGGTCCGGCGTCTGACCTCGCGGCATGGCGCCGCTGCCTCTGCCCGCAGGAGAAACCAAAGCAGATGACAGCGCGAGCAAGGAGGCGGCGGAGGAGAAGCAGGAGGACGACAACGACTACCACCGCAGCGACGAGCAGGTCAGCGCCCCCGCGCCCCTCCGGCTCCTGAGCCGCAGTGGGGGTGTGCAGGCCTCGGCCCCCAAACGGAGGGGAGCTGAGCCGCACCCTGGCCTGGGCACCGCCCCAGTCAGGAGGTGGGAGCTGCGGGCGGGGTGGGCTGTGGTCAGAGCTCCAGATGTGCGCAGAGGCCGGGCGGTGGGGCCCCTTCATCTGAGCCCCAGAGGACAGCAGCCTCCGGGGGTGGCACAGGTGACACTCTCTGCTTCAGACAGGAGAAGATGCCCTAGTGCTTCCGTGGCTGCCTGGAATATTCTGAGTCCAGTGGTCAGGAGGGCAGGCGCGGGGGGACGGGGTGGCTGCCCACCCACTGGGCCGACACAAAAGACCCAAAAGGCTGAAAACCAGAACCAACGGCTGTAGCGACACAGCACCCGTGGGGGCCTGTGGCCCCGGGCTCCAGGAGCAGCCGCCCCGGGCTGACCCTACAGGCAGGAGACAGAGCCCGCCGGGGCCCCACGGGCCCCCACTTGGCACACGGTGTCAGGACGGGCGCCGCCGGTCACCGGGAGTCTGGGCCGCACTGGCCAGTGCGGCGGGCTCTCTGGTGGCGTCCGGCACCCAGCGTCCACCATGCTCTGCACTGCCGGGCGACTGTCCGGCTGGGCCAGGGCTCCTTGCCGCTGCTGGAGAGCCGGGCCAGGCCCCCGAGGCCGGCGGGTGCCCCCCGCCCCCCTTGATTGGCGCCAGGGGCACAGGCCCCTCGTTCCTCTGGTGGCTGGCGGGACTGGGCCTCAGCGCTGCTCGCCCAGCCGCATCCTCTCCGGGGAGCCCCGCAGGTCTGGTGCGGCCATTTTTCAGCCCCGGGCTGACTGGACCATTCAGGGCCGGTCAGCCTGTCCCCACAGCTGAACGGCCGTCCTGACGGGGAAGTGCGGCGGTGTGAGACCGCCCGAGGCGCTGCCCTGCGTGGGCGCGCCCCGGCCTGCTGCGCCTCCCGTGGGGCTCGTCTCTGCCGCTGGTGACGTCAGCTTGCTTAAGGTGCACCCGTGAGGGCCAGCTGTGGGCTCCACCGGTCAGTGCCTGGACTGGCAGAGCCCCGGCGGGTGCGCGAGCCCGATGAGCCTGGCCGTCTCCTGGCCTCCAGCAGCTGGTCTGGCTGGAACAGGTCTGGGCTGTGCCCGTCCAGGCCCCCCGGCACGGCTCGTCCAGGCCGGGCCTCTGCTCGCAGGGGTGGGGGGGTTAGTGGCCAGCCCTGCCCTCGGCACACTGGTTGTTGGGGGGCAGAGGCCGGAGCGGGGCCCTCACCTGCTGCCCTGCAGGGCCACCACTTGGGCGTGGCTGTGGCCAGTGGGTGGGCGCGCTGCCCCCCCGTGGGACTCCTTCGCCTCCGCCAGGGCTGCTTCTGCCCTGGCTCACGGCTCCCCCAGGGCGCGGCCCTGACGGTGCCCCGCCCGGCCGGCCACCTGCAGTGGACGTGGGGACACGAGGGCCTACAGGGGCTGTGGCCTCAGCTAGGGTCAGCTCGCACAGCTGCAGGCAAGGAAACACGTGTGAAATAGGAGCCAGAAAGCCTCCCCCAGGCCTGTGGTGGACACAGCCCGCGCCGCGGAGGTGCCCGGGCCTCCGGCGGGGCGCTGTGCCCA